CTCTCTCCGTCTGTTACTCATCATCGTCTATGACCTGGGATACAAGACCGAAAACACCACAGAAGAAAAAACAGAGTCAAAGCAATAAAGGAAGTCGGAAGCGAAGAACAGAGGAGAAAGAAATAAGTTGAGAGTAAAAAAAATTGAAGAGCGTATAGAGAAATTTGAAGAGGAGAAACAGGTAAGAAAAGAAAAAAAGAAAAAAGACTTCAAACAATCGTAATTTAACATCAAAGCAGAGTATTACTCAAGACGGAGCTCCTGTATGGAAAAGAATGAACGGCTCCAAAAGGCAATGCAGATACGAAATCAGTATACTATCCACGTAAAAAAGAGGAAAACAAAAATCCCAGCTTCAATCAAATATTAAACCATAGAATATGGTTATATATGCTCTTAGGGTAAACAAAAAAGGGTGTTGAAAATCCCTTTGATATATATACACGATGGACACCACAAGTAAAAAAATGCTGGAACTTATTCTGAAGATAGGCGATACACGATTTTTAGGTACGCGAGTGAGGGAAGAGTTGTGTGTGTAGTGGCAGCGCTTTGTAGCGTGAAATTCTGTCAGGTTGTGAGTCGAGGTAATGTAATGGGTAGGACTTTTTTTGTCGTGTTTAGGTAGCGTACAGTAATGTAGGTTCTTCGTATGTTCGTGTGTGTGTATCGGTAGCGTATGTAAGGGTCTGGTGGGTGGCATGGGTGGATGTGCAGGTTGACAGATTAGATGGAGGCACGATTGGGGAGAAGCAGGCGGATGGTTGATTTTGATACGGTAACCACTTGGGGACTATCCTAAGTATTCATTCAACTTCTTCCTTAATTCTTCTTCTGCTCACCTCGTAGGTCGTGTTGTCCATTCATCAACTCTCATTCTCAGTCTCTCTCTCTCCCTTCCCCTCACCATCTCCCCTCCATCTCTTCTTTCCACTTTAGCCTTCCTCCTCTCTCTCTCTATCTATCTATTTATCTGTCCCTCTCTATTCTCTTTCTCTCCCTTGTTCCCCTTGTCATTCCGCACTCTCTCTCTCTCACAAACTTTTTCTCTCTCTCACTCCCTTTCTCTCTCCCTCTTTCTGTTTGTCTTTTGTCTTTCATTCCTCCTGCATCGTGAGTGGGGAACAGACGGGCATTCACAGCATTGTCGTCTTGCAGCCTGCGATGGTGAATAGAGGAGGGGCAGAGGAGGAGGGGCTGGAGGGGCACAGGACAGGGAGAGGGAGCGAGGGAGGGAGAGGGGGAAAGGGGGACTGAAGTAGTGGGGGAAGGTCAATGCGGAGGAGCTGGGGAAGGGGAAAGGGGAGGGGGAAGGGGGAAGAGATACAAGCCCTTCGCTACGTCGTTGTCTGCGGCCCTTCCCCCTCGCCCTCCGCCGCCTCCTCCGTCGCACGAATGCACGAAACAAATAAACAACCAATGGACCAACAAATAAACAGGTATTCTAAACAACCCCGTTCGTTCATCATTCAATTACAGCGTATTTCGCAATCAAACTCGTGTCGACTTCGGAGAAAGAAAAAAAATCCAAAAGATACGCCGATCCTGCAATTAAATCAATCAGCGGTGATGCAACGCGGAGACACGCACGCACCAGTCAAGTCATCACACAAGTCACTACTATCCTCACGATCTTCGCTATCCTCACATCACTATGGCTCTGAACTCACGATAGGCTCCTCATCACTCACTGTCACCACACGGAATCACTATCCTCGCACTGCCACGCCCTTTTTTCCTCACAGGACAAGCCTCCTCACCACTCGAACCATCACACGCAACCACTACCTCGCGCATCTCCCTATCATCACTACCACATGCCGACTCCGAGGGGTCCCTTCGCCACTCAAAAGTCACCACATAATACCACTTACTTCGCATCACCTTTTAACCTCACAACCAGACCAACCAACCACCGTTACCCACCCAAGTCACCACACGCAACCACTTTCCTCACATCACCACCCATCACAGGACAGACCCCTCACCCTCACCACTCACCACTCATCACGCAAATTATCCCTCCTTATCACCACGTAGCACCAGCAGGCAGCGCTGTTAACATGGCTCGCGTATCCTTCACACTTCTAAGGCTTTTCCGACTGAGTAAAGGTAACTGTCAAGATCGTCGGATGGGCGGAAGCTTAATACTTTTTTATGTTTTTTTTTTTTCTTATTTTTAAAAGGCGTTGTTCGTGCGCGTCTCCTGGGATGCGGTAAGATGGCGGAAGGAGAGGAAAATGGGTTATATCACTTATCTATCTTACCTCCAGATAAGATAGATTTGCGAATATTAAAGATGTATATACAGTAGACTGAATGATACATGTATACAAAGATTTATAGAGATATACAGATAGATAGACAAATCGATAGACTGATACACATGGTGTGTGTGTGTGTGTGTGTGTGTGTGTGTGTTGTGTGTGTGTGTGTGTGTGTGTGTGTGTGTGTGGTGTGTGTGTGTGAGAGAGAGAGAGAGAGAGAGAGAGAGAGAGAGAGAGAGAGAGAGAGAGAGAGAGAGAGAGAGAGAGAGAGAGAGAGAGAGAGAGAGAGAGAGAGAGGAGAGGAAGACGCTAACGAGAAAAGTGACGAATAAAATGCACAGGGTGGTAAAAGTGAGATTAATATACAGTATAGGAAGGAGGAGGGGGCGGAGGTGCGTGTTCAGGATGAAAGAGAAGGGAGGAGAGAGGGAGAGAAAGGGGAAAGGTCAAGCCGGAGAGAAGAAAGACACGAGAGAGAAGGGCGCGGCGACCTGCACCCCCCCCCCCCCCCGCACTCTCTTTTCTCCCTCTCTCTCAGACAGTCTCTCTCTCTCATTCTCTCTCTTGCTCCATCCTACCCTCCCCAAACTCCCTCCCCCTTTCCTTCCGTCCTCCCTCCCTCCTTCACTCTCCTCCCCTCCCTGCCTCCATCGCCAGCATCCACACAGCTCTTTCTTGCACCCGCAGCCGCTACAACATCCCCCGTGATTTACTCCTGCTTTATACGCACGGGAGACGCTCAAGTAGTTCGGCTCACGGAGAGAGAGGAGAAAAAACAACGATTTACGGTTGATTTATTGACTATGGCTGGTTTCAGACCTCACCTCCTGTTTACCTTACATGGCACGAACCTGCGCGAAAAGGCGGTAAAGGAAGAAGGAAAGGGGTGGAGGGAGGAAAAGAGAGAGAGGGGAGGGGAGGGAGGAGGGAGGGAAGGGGTAAAGGGAGGGAGGGGAGGATGGAAAAGGGTAAAGGGAGGGAGGGATAGAGAGGGAGAGAAGGGGGAGAGAGAGAGAGAGAGAGAGAGAGAGAGAGAGAGGAGAGAGAGAGAGAGAGAGAGAGAGAGAGAGAGAGAGAGAGAGAGAGAGAGAGATAAACAAGAAAGATTGAAAGAATGAAAGAAGGAAAGGATGAAAGGATAAGGAAGAGGGACAACACGACTGCTCACAGTGCATTTAAAACTCGCCATTCAGCCGAGAAATAAAAATCCTACGGCCATACACCCCCGCCCCTCTTCCCGAGCGCCCTCCTCGCCCGCCCCGGAGTCAGCGGGAGGGTGGGCGGCGCGGCCCCCTCAGCTCGCCGCCCTGCCTCGATATACATATATGGACACCAACTATGCATCTCGAGACACGCTTCTCCGCCACTTTCACTACGAAACTACGCCACTCGCCCGGAACACAGACCAGCGCTCACAGTCATGCATGCGGCGCGAAGCTTCCCCCGGGTGACGATGCCCCTTGCCCGCTGCCGCTTCCCTCCGCCCGTCCCCCTCCCGCGCAGAGATGAGGAAGCACGGGCGTCGAAAGACTTGTGAGAGATTAAGTAAACCTTCAACTTACGTGGAGATTTACCGCAATGTTGACCCTCGCCACCGCAAAAAAAGAAAAAGATAAAAATAAAATCGCACTTGCATAGGATATAATGAACATTTGCATACGCTATTAGCATTCACGACAGCTCGGCATCTCTGTTAAAGCGAACCATAAAAGCGGGTATGGTACAATTTTTTGCTCGCTCCATCCCACGTATTTCTTTCCATTCCCATGACCTTCCCTCACCTCCTCACCCCTCTCCTTTCCCTTTCCTTCTTATGGCCTTCCCTCCCCTTCTCACCCCTCTCCTTTCCCTTCGCTTCTTAGGGCTTTCCATCACACTTATATTCCCTTTCTTTTCTTCTCTTTCCCTATTCGTCTCTTCCCTTCTTTCCCCCCAAATCTTCCTGTCCTTCTTCTCTTCCCTCCCCTCCCGTCTCTCTCCTCACCTTCCATTTTTTCCCCTCCCTTCCCTTCCCTTCTCTTTCTGCTTCCCTCATTTACTTCCCTCCCTTCCTTCCCCAGCTCCTCCTTCCCGCCCCTTCTCCCTCCTCCCCATGGCCTTCACCCCCCAAGATTCCTGCATTTCCCAAGCCATGAGTAAGCGTGCATTGCGTGCCTCCGAAATCTCCTCCGCATTACGCTCAGGCAGGACTTTCTTTTCTCTTCTCAGCTCCTGAAGGATCTCCAAGGGGGAGAGGGAAGGAGAAGGGGAGGAGGGGGGGGGTACGTTAAAGCCTGAGTCAGTCTTTGTTGAAAAGAATTCCTTACTGCTAAAAGTAGAAAAGAGAAAAAAGTCCTTGCTTGAGAGTAGCCGTGGCTGTTCTGACATGTCAACCTTGACGGTGACATGCATGGTCTGCTCTCAGTTCCTGGTCATCCGAACAGACCGAGATTATTCGCGACTCCACTCTTATCGTCTCTTTGTCTTTCGCGTCTCGCTCCTGAAGGCTTCTTGTCCGTCTGCGTCGCCGCCTCGCTGGTCCGGCTCCCCGATTCAACCCTGGCGAATCTCTGGCCCTTTGTCTCGCCCTGGTCACTCTCTCTCTTGGGCTGGCCTTACCTGGCTGTCTCCTTCTGTGACTTCGCCCTGATTGTCACCCTCTCCCTTTCTGTACTTCTCTCTCTCCATGAACTGTATGTCTCTCCCCCTCCCCCTCTAAAGCACCGAATTCTTTGCAACATCCTCCCCATCTGCATGCAATGTACGAAAAACGACGGTCTTAGTCCATCTGCACTGCGACCTGATCAACCACAGAGTGATAAACAGGACCATCAATCCATCACATCAACGCCCCAGACTCGCCTCATAACGCCGGACAGATGGTCGACGCAGTGCCACCTCTCCCTCCCACCCCCACTACCACCCACCTACCCAGCCACCACTGACGTTCATTACAATGCCACCGCGACGCCACATTCGCCACACCCACACCCCGCATGCGAGCCATTCGCGCCTCTACCACCGCCACCCACGACACAGCAGTCGAAGTGCCAGCTGCCGACCCTCGACGACCCTCAACGACGACGCATGCGCAAACATGAAATCCCAAACAGCAGTAGCCCTTCGCCGCCGCCGCCGCCCGACCGGAAATCGCAGGAAACACGTATCACCGTAGCCGGAAAGACCAGTTAGCGGACAACTGGCCACTTCCCGAGACAGAGCACGGGCCGCCGCCGCCGCCGAGTGCGAACTGGGTGCGCATAAGTCACGTGTGGTGGTCCGCGGAACTGGGTCAGGCACGCATGCACGGATGGAAGAGAGAGTAGGAAACGGCAGATATCTATACATACATATATATATATATATATATATATATATATATATATATATATATATATATATATATATATATATTGAGAGAGAGAGAAGAGTGGGGGAACAAACGAGATAGGGAAAGGGAGAGAGAGAGTCTGAAGGAAGTGTGGGGAGGGGAGACGAAGGGAGGGAAGAGAAGAAAATGTGTGTGTGTGACAGAGAGAGAGAGAGAGAGAGAGAGAGAGAGAGAGAGAGAGAGAGAGAGAGAGAGAGAGAGAGAGAGAGAGAGAGAGAGAGAGAGAGACGAGATGAGAGAGAGAGAGAGAGAGAGAGAGAGAGAGAGAGAGAGAGAGGAGAGAGAGAGAGAGAGAGAGAGAGAGAGAGAGAGAGAGAGAGAGAGAGAGAGAGAGAGAGAGAAGATAATACACTAGAAAAAAAGACAAGACATGATTAAAGAAAACAAAACGCGAAACAAAAAATAGAGACATCAAATAATAAATAAACAAATAAATGAAAACATCAGTCAAATACAGAGCTAAACATCGACACGGTAATGCCAGCCACAGATCCAGCTCACTCCCCAATTACCACACAGGATTACCCGGTGTTTGTAAAATGGCTTCACCAAATGCGCAACAAGTCAACAAAACCTGCAATGAACAACAGCCACCCATCCATCACCCTGCTCTCCGGTAATGAAAAATAAATAAAAATCCATCAACGTAGAGAGAGAGAGGGAAAAAACAAATATATCTATCAAAACTCCTTTCATATCAATGTCCCAAGCAATAAACGGATCACAGTCGTCCATAAGCATTTCACAAACTCCGAATGATGATGCCCCTGGAACTAGAGTAAAGAGATCACCGAGAAAAGATTTACAGTTACCATAAGCAAATTCACAATATGCATAAACCTCAATATATGATCACCATAGCGAGAGAATTCCCAGATAGCCCATCGTTTCCTTCCCTCCTCCTCCTCTCCCTCTCATCACCCCCCGTCCCCCTCTCGCTCCCTCCATTCTCCCCTACGACCCCCCCTCCCTTACCTCTACACTGCACGAAACTACGTCGTCATTCACCCACATCTCCCTGGGCCGTGACATTACGACCCCCCAACAAGGTGCCCAGCGTGACATGACAACCCCTCCGACGTACAGGGCTGGCAGGATACACGACAAGCTTCGCTATCACTTTGGTCACTCGTGTCATGTCATATTAGCTCCGGGCGTAACGGTAAGAGACATGTGGGTGATAAGAAGGGAGAGAGGTGGAGAAAGAATGGGAGGGTGAGAAAGAGGAGAAGGCGAGGAGAGAGAGAGAGAGAGAGAGAGAAGAGAGAGAGAGAGAGAGAGAGAGAGAGAGAGAGAGAGAGAGAGAGAGAGAGAGAGAGAGAGAGAGAGAGAGAGAGAGGGAAAAGAGTGAGAGGCGAGAAGACAGAGGTCCCTTAGATGGCCCGATTTGCACACAAATACGAACGCTATTTTCGGGCTTCCGTGGGCAGCCTGAATAGCCAGGGCGTCCGTCAAAGGGACACCTCACACACAAGGCAGCTCCTGGCCAAGGGTGTCCCTCACAGCGGGGCGTTGTCTTCCCTGACGTGCACCGATCTTTTATACCCCGCGTGCACGCCCATCACGCCCATGCCTCGCATGGGCCACACGCAACTCGGACACTTCAGGGGCACTCTCCTACACTTTCAATGGAAATACTGTCACATACACATAGGTATGCAGCAACTAACACGCTCATACAAAATTACATAAACACATAAAAACACAAAGAAACACACACACACACGAAACCACAATTAATTACACCCACACTCACCTTCTTTTAGGGATCTGTATATACGTTCAGTTTTCATCTTCGTTTCAAGATACAGGCCTATATATATTTCCTCATGTCGACCAGGAACTTAAGAAAATTTAAAAACGAACAAAAATATATCAACGTGGGTAAAAACACAATAAAATTGTTTCCAGTAATCATGCTAATACAGGGATTTGACACACGTTTCTGTCGCTGCACACGGACAATGGGCCACAAATTTTCAACTGTGTACATGTCACTGCACTAATTGCGTCCGAATTTCATTAAACAAATCACGCATCACTTGTTCACACATATTTTTCACGGCCTTCTTCTGCACCCAAGCTCATTTTACACATACGTGCAGAAAGGCCGGGTATGTCGAGTATACTAAGAGCATGTCGGTATACTAAGGGCGTCGCCAGCGGTCCTCACCTGCACCCGCCACTCCTGCACACCTTGGCGTAACACCAACATGAGTGTATCCACGTGCATACACACACTGCCGCACGGACACAACACAAACCCACTTCCACCTTCCCCCTCCCGATCCCCCCTCGCCC